ATAGCGGGAAAACAAACACCTCCAAGTGAAACAGTGTTCACCTTATTTTAGCGTTTAGCGGAAAAAGAAACACATCCAAGGGAAACAGTGTTCACCTTATTTTAGCGAAAAAGAAACACCTCCAAGTGAAACAGTATTCACCTTATTTTAGCGGAAAAAGAAACACCTCCAAGCGAAACAGTTTTCACCTAATTTTAGAGGGAAAAAAAACCCACAAGGGAAACAGTGTTCACCTTATTTTAGCGGAAAAAGAAACACCTCCAAGTGAATCAGTGTTCACCTTATTTTAGCGGAAAAAGAAATAACTCCGTTGCTCTTTGCGTGATTCAAAAAATAAAGCGGCAAGATCAAATCACCGACGATAAATTTCTTGCAAATGTCAAGATGCCTGGACATCCGCACATGTTATCAGCAGTAGACTCCCTGGCTGGCGTGTACCCCAAATGTCACATGACGGACTTCCACAAGAATATTGTCTGGCGACATGATGGAGGTCATAAGAGCTGCAGGTCTGTTTAGACGTAAAATGCCAAAGATATGTACCTTATACATTTATAATATCATTCATAATTTTTATAATCATTACAAAGCTTGTATTATTTTACACGGTCTGTTTGTCTGTCTGTTTGGTACAAATTGTGTACACTTTTTTTCTACCATTTTCCATTCTCGGATTGAGTTGAACTTTTACACAGTTATTCACCATCAATGTCAATGGATGGACATGGATCAATTTAAATAGTTAATCAGCTCGTTTATCAATTAGTGAAAATAAATTAGTTTTGCTTTAATTAGAAAAAGGGAGTTATATCTTGCAGTATAGAGAGATTTGGTGGGGATGTTTTGCGGTTCTTCCCATTAGATAAGGCTCTCTTTCTTTTCAAAGCATATGTCGATGTAAGACGTAAGACATTGACAACATCTTCCTTCACGGTCCTATAAAAGAAACAAAATGACTCAACTTGGTTTTGATATCAACAGGACACCCCCCCCCCCCCCCCCAAAACTAAGAAGGAGACGTGTCAGATGGGATTACACCGTACAGGGTGAAGCGACCATAAAAGAAGAAAAAATGAGTTATATCACTTTCGTGTATAACATAGCAGCCAGTGTTATGTCAAGGACTCTTACCCTCTGTTTTCTGGATGTTGATAAACTTTTTATGTGTTTGACTAAGATCAGGGTCAACCCACAATAACGTCTTGCTAATCTTATTTGTGTTGTTCTATTGGACGCTAGCGGTAAGTTTCCATCAAATAATATCTTAGAGTTGTTCATAAAGCTTTGTGCAAGAATACTTTAATAATACAAACCAATTCAAAAATATATTAAAGTCAGGTTCTTGTTTATACTTCTAAGGAACTAAATATAAAAGTTGTGGTTAGTACTGTATATCCGTGCATTTACCCCGCACACGCGTATTACCCCTCACACACACTTACACACAAGTCACAAAATAAGTTAAAACAAGATCGTACAAACCGCAATCTTATGTACCCCCGCATTTGCTAAGCGTGACTTGCCTTAAACTACCGGTACATAAAGTACTATTATAAGTACTATCTGTTTTGGGGGTTTAGAATGAAGCTTTCCAATGTACATTTCACAACCACACAGCGAACTATAGGAGATACTTTGACACACCGGTATGTCCATATGTTTGTGAGTAAAATAAATTGTTTAAACTTTGATTACTCGGCACAGCTGCAATTCGCTTATTTAAAAAAAAACGTTTATAAACCCGTGGGTTATACGCGCAGAAATACGTAATATGTATGACAGATTTGGTCAAGACTTACTTTTGAAAAACCATCAGACCCCGAAACTTTGGAATATGGAAACTGAACGTCAGGATAAGGCTTTGGTTACTGAAGAGACCTTACAATTATACGTACACCAGTCTCAGCGCTCTTTTTTTTTCTTTCAAAGCTCAGAATGCAGGAAATTGATTAGCAGTAATATTTGTGACCTGAACGGGGTCCACTTAAATAATTATTGTGAAGCTGTGCACCCTTTGCCAATCGTACTAAGCTTCAACATCCCAAAACACAGGGCTAATACCACTTCAATGTTGAATCGTAATTTTTTTCGACAATCAGTATGATCGAACATTGACTTATAGATCACTATAAAATAATTCGGAAAAGATGATTAACTTTTTTTCTTTGGAAACTTACACACACGGGCCCAACACCTATATTTTTAGTCCCTTTATAAATGTCCATTCTTTATATCTTGAACTCCCCCCCCCCCCCTCCTAAGCGAAATAATGTGAAGTTACAGAAGAAGAATTTACTCGTTCTATAATTTAAAAGTAGACATTTTTTTGTCGGCCTCCATCAGTCGTAGAACGACTATGGTTCATCTCGCACACTTCCTCATGTGGCTTTGGAGCCCTATTTTGGAGAAATACTCCCGTCCACATATATTGCAGGTCAAGATGGCTTTTGCTTCGGTGGTAGAGGAGCTAGCCATTTTTCGTTTGGCACGGTTTTCTTCCATAGCTGAGGCCAATGTTTTTCACTGTCCATAGCTTTCTTGCGAGTTGTCCGTCGAGAATGACTTTATTTTAAACAGTAGACATTGAAGTGTGTTAAATATAAAGCTGAGTGGAATATCTCGAACTGGTTCATATCCAACTGCTTTATTTCTTCTTATCAGATATAGTCAAACTTTCCTGCAAAGGCCTTCTACTTGATCTCGACATTGTTACATCAAGAGTTGGAGGACATGGAGGACATGGAAAAGCTTTAGGTGGGGCAGGAGGGAAAGGAGGAGAAAGGAGGGAGGAGGGGGCCGTGGGCGCCTTGTTTACTTTTAAATCAATTTTTACAGTTGAAGTTTACTTTAGAATCACCTCTTCGTGGAGCCTCTGTGACAGTCACGGGTTCAAATCTCACTTTAGAAGGCTAGAGACGTAATTTTCAGATCGCTTTATGAAGATACAAATGGTACATATGAAGTAGAGAAGAATGAATTCCTAAACAATGCCATAGTAAATTACTTTTGGATGTATGCTTTGCATTTTGTACTGCCGTCAACTACCGCCTTCCTCCACTTCAGTTCTACAGGAGGGCTCAATAATTACGTCATTTAAATGAATCTTACAAATCGGTAGGATCAAAACTTTAATTTTTCGATGTTCCATTGTGTATGCGTCTTATTCTTGCCTTCAAACAACTAAACAAAGATATCATTAGAACGGCGAACTTTTTTTTATACAAGGTCTGACCAAGAAGGCATGACGTTTGGGTGTAAGGTGAAACTAGTCATGTGACCTGTATCCTAAAACTATTCTGTTTCAATGAAAGAAATTACCACAAGTGAAAGAATTTTAATGTTGTCACGTGTCCCACACACACACACGCCCAACTTCTTTCTCCCCCACCCCTTCTGAGAAGCCAAACATTATTTCAAATAATTCTTGGAAAAAATGAAAATGAAACTCAGTCTCACTGGACAAGTGAAATGTGTCTATTACCATAGATAGAACTTACACGACTTTTTAGGCGCTGTGTTCAGTGTAATAACATTTTTTTAAATTTCACTTCGTCTCTCTCTCTCTCTCTCTCTCTCTCTCACACACACACACACACAAACTGAACATTGATACACATTAAATTAACATTAAGTTTTATCTTGTCACAAATTTGTCTCAGAGACATTGGGTTAGCCGTTCCAGACAACACGAAGAGATCGTAAGTATCTGAGAGGTTTTTGAAACCATTATCGTTGACTCTTTATAAAAAGACAGACTCATTGCGTTGACTCTCTATTGTTTACTTTATTTTGTATGAAGAATAACTCTTATTAGTGTAAATTATCAGCACCAGTTAAGGCGGTTGGTCGTTGTGCTGGCCACATGACACCCTCGTTAACCGTAGGCCATAGAATCAGATGACCTTTACATCATCTGCCCTATAGACCACAAGGTCTGAAAGAGGAACTTTACTTAATTTTTATCAGCACCTGAGTTACACTAATCTAATTAGTACATTAGTTTATATCTTTTCCATACTTTCTTAAATGTTATCACTTTATGTTTGTTACCAATCATGCGGGCAAGTGGTGATCCATGTGCTGAAATCCAAACTGTGCAACTACAAAATATTGTATAAGAATACATTTTTAAAAAAAACATCCTTTTTTTTCCCCTTTGGAACAGACCAAAAGTACTTACAGTTTCAGCACCAGCAAAAACCTAGTTAGATCGGGAAGAGGAATACTTGCACCCGGTCAATTATCTGGCTATCCTTGGGCAGATGAGGGTGACTTTCACGAGCAAATTCTATATCAAATGTAATTACTAAATATTTTCATATCTCTAGCCAAAAGGTTAAACTAGTTCTATACTAGAACACAATAAATAACGATACAATCTTTATAATATACGATGTCGCTTTATCACATTTTCTCTCTCTATATATATATGTTTCAGATCCTCTGTCACGAAAATGTTATTGAAACCAGCACTTTTACTAGGTTTAATTATGAGCCTGAATTTCGCATCAGGGTCCTCCACGCCAGCAGCGAACATTACCGATGTAACCACAGACACGGCAATGACCTCAACATCTTCCGTTTCTTCTACCACAGACAGCTCGAGGCCTGAAGTAAGTTCGACCACTGCTACCACAGCATTGAAAGAGACCGTATTATCCTACCTGACAACCGCAGGAATGACTTCGTCCAGCGTGACAACGACGGGCGCGACAACGCTGTATTCAATAGCGTCCACCGTGTCATTGACTTCGGAGTCAGTTTCCAGCATAATAGCATCAAGCGTGTCATTGACCTCGGAGTCAGTGTCCAGCACAACAGCATCCAACGTGTCATTGACCTCGCAGTCCAGCACAACAGCATCCAACGTGTCATTGACCTCGCAGTCCAGCACAACAGCATCCAACGTGTCATTGACCTCGCAGTCCAGCACAACAGCATCCAACGTGTCATTGACCTCGCAGTCCAGCACAACAGCATCCAACGAGTCGTTGACCTCGGAGTCAGTGTCCAGCACAACAGCCCCCAACGTGTCATTGACCTTGGAGTCAGTGTCCAGCACAACAGCACCCAACGTGTCATTGACCTCGGAGTCAGTGTCCAGCACAACAGCATCCAACGTGTCATTGACCTCGGAGCCAGTGTCCAGCACAACAGCATCTAACGTGTCATTGACCTCGGAGTCTGTGTCCAGCACAACTGTTCCCAATGTCACATTGGCCTCATCAACGTCTTCCACCTCTCCTACCCCCACCGTTACAAACCCTAGTAGAAACTCCTCAAACTCAGACACAGTCAACCCCTTGGTCCCCCTATTGACTTTTGTTTTAAGTTATCATCTAATGAAATTGAGAAAATTCATCTGATAAATATTTCTGATAAATCATCAAGGTTGTTTTTTGTTTTTTTTTTGTTATAAACATCAACAACAATAAAATATAGAATATCTTCTCATCTTTTATATATGTTAGTGAAGTCTGGAATAATCTTGAAAACATTACCATTAAGCTGTTGATAAACTAAAAACTTAAAAGCCAATTTACAAAGGAATCAAAGAATGACGAAGTAATTATCAATATTGAAATACGATAATACGATTATTCAAGTGTGATATCTATGTGTTGTTATTCTTTGTGCTTTCTACACTCTTCGGTCAATGTTTTTTTTTTGTTGTTGTTTTTTAGATTTTGGAGAAAATAGCAATTGTAGTGCAATTTTAAATTAAATTTACATTCTATGTCAAACTTGTTTTCAAAACGTTTTAGAGCCTAACCCTGGAAGACCCAGTGGGTCACGGGTGACCCATAACACAAAACTACGTTTAAGTAAATGTCTACTTCATTTTTTATGTAATTTTTACCACCAATACCCAGTGGCCCAAATATGGAACACAAGGGAAACAACTATTATGTTAAATTTTTCTTATTACTGAATAATATCCCTTTTGCATATGGCTACCTCCTTATGAAGTTTGGAACTCAGATTTCGACTGAAAAAAATATTTAATTACTGCTTTATACAAGGTAAGACACAATCTTTTTCTTAGTATTATATATCTAAATAATGTATTTAATGATTATATATAGTATTTAATACGAATTAGTTCTCTGTTTAGTATTAATAGTTTTGTGTAATGCACAAATTGTAAGACAAATTTCCATATGATACGTACAATAAAGATTATTATTATTATTATTATTACATTTTTAAAATCACTGGGTCATGGGTGACCCATTGGGACTTTAGCACTTTAGGGGAAAAAATTATAATCTAGATCTAGTGACGTCTAAGACGTCTAATCTAGATGTAGATCAACAGTATCATTGTCAGTATTTGATTTTAGTATTTAATTTACATTTTGAACTAGATCTATAAAGAACTTGATTTAAAGTCTGCACTTCTTTTATAAATGATAAATCTATAATACAATGTTGTTATTTTTGTACTATATATCTGGTATATATATCTAATCTTGTTAATTTTTTTTTCACCAGAATATACAATGTCAGCTTCACTCCCTAAGAAATTCACTGCTCAAGAAGTGCTAGATATTTTAGAAGTCATTGACTACAATGAAAGTGATTTGGAAAATGATTCAACTGATGATGAGGACTATGAACCAGAACCTGATAAGGAAGCAGGAATGCAAGACCTCAGTTCTTCTGAATCCTCTTCCGATGAAGAAGTGACAGAACCCTTGCCATCTTCTTCTAGTGCCTTTGCTAGGAAAGGAAAAAGAAAGCCTATGAGTGGACAAAAGATAATTTCAATCCACCAGACTCAGATTTCCGGGGCAAAGTTCTAGAACTTCCTGAAAACTATGAAGTTCAGTCACCAATGCATTATTTCAAAAACTTTCTTACGGATGACATGCTAGAGTTGATTGTTAAATTTACAAATGAGTACAGTGTTGAAAAGAGTGGAAAAAGTATTGACACCAATAAGAAAGAAATAGACCAAATCATTGGCATGTTTCTGAGAATGGGTCTAGCCTAGATGCCCGGTGTTAATTGTTACTGGGAAACAGACACTCGTTATGATCCAGTTGCTGTAGTAATGAGTCGGAATAGGTTTCAGTCACTCCTTTCAAATTTGCACTTTGTTAATAACAATTTAGCTACAAATGAAGAGAAATCGAACAAGCTTTGGAAGATACACCCTTAGCTCAAACTATTTAGAAATAATTGTTTAAAAGTTATTGCTCATGAAAATAACAGCATTGACGAAATGATGATTCCCTTTAAAGGAAAGTTCAGCAAGCTTAAGCAGTTTATAAAGGGAAAGCCCCATCCTTGAAGAATAAAAGTGTGGGCTAGAACCTCATCAGCAGGTATGCTATGTGATTTTGATGTTTACCAAGGCAAGAAGGATAAAAAGGATGCTGATTCTATTGGTGTTGGTCCTGATGTAGTACTTCAGCTTAGTTCTAAGTTGCCACAGAATGAGCCGGATAAGCCATCACTAAATTACAAAATATTTGCGGACAATTTCTTTACAACTTTGCCTCTCTTGGAAAATCTGCAGAAAAAAGGCATTCACTATACTGGCACAGTTAGACCCAATCGTCTTCCAGGCATTTTACTTGATCCCGAGAAAAATATGAAGAAAAAAGGTCGTGGCACAATGGATCAATGTGTTGAAAAGTCTACCAACATAGTAGCTGTCCGTTGGTATGTCAACTGTCAACAGATTTGAAAAAGCTAAGTCAGCCTATGTTCAGGTCCAGCAGCCTGCTGTGATAAAACTTTATAATGAAAGCATGGGAGGCGTAGATCTTCTCAACTGTTTCATTGCCAAGCATTCATTTCACATAAGATCAAAGCGTTGGTATTTGTACATATTTTGGCAGACCATACGCATGATGTTTGTGAATGCTTGGCTCTCTTATCGTCAGGCATGTCAGCTCATAGGGATGTCTAAAAAAGATGTGTTGAACCAACGCAATTTCCAAACAAAACTGGCATCCCTTTTGATCAGTTTACATGAGCATGCACACACAAAACGAGGAAGACCATCTTTAGAAGGTGCAGCTGCAGGCCCATCAAGAAAGAAATCTGCCTTGAGACCTATGCCTGAACCAGAAGTCAGAACCGATGGCTTTTTCCACTTCCCAATAAAAACGGAAGATCGCCAGCGCTGCACGTTGTGTAGCATGAAGACAAACAACAGTTGTGAGAAGTGCAAAGTCTATCTGTGTTATACAAAGCAAAGAAATTGTTTTAGAATTTTTCATGTTTCTTAAATAAAATTTTCTAACATTCTAAATATATTTTTTTTATTTTCATGAAAATATAATAATTAATACCAACCAACATAACCCAGTGGGTCACCCGTGGAATAAATTGAAAAAGTAGGTCAAGGTCACGTGACGTTAAAAATTAATGTTGATATTGAATTATCAACATATTATATATATGTATACCAAAGGAAATACTTTTAGAACCACTGTAAGATTATGTGGGTCTTCCAGGGCTAATATGTATCCTAAATAATAGGTTAAATAATAAACCATCAAAGAGGCTAAATACTGTTATTTTCGCGCATATAACCCGCGGTTTATGCAAGATTTTAAAAAATGTGGTTTACACAATTTATTTTACTCATAATCATAGCATTACGGAAACTATGGACATACCTGTGGGTCTTTATACCTCCTAGAGTTCGCTGTGTTGTTGTTTAATGTACATTAGAAAGCTTTATGAACATCTCATTATAAACCTCATGAAAACAAATAGTACCGATGCGGCAGAGAATGTTTAATATACCAGTAATCACTTGGGATATGTAAGTAAGAAAGTATACTAATTTGCCGATACCGGTTTTGTTGAAATGCGGGGTATATAAAGGTGCGGGTTGTACGATTTTGTTTCTGCTTATTTTGTAATGTGTGCAGGTATACGTGTGAGTGGGTTATATGCGTACGCGGAGATAATGCGCGAAAATATGGTAATTAGCCACCTAATAGAATAAATTAGGTCATTAAGTACACTAAATTTTTTACCAATCCGTGGACTAAATGCAAAATAAATTGGTCTGTTTGTAATGTTTGTGTGATATCTAAAGGAATTTCTTTAATTGGCTATAGATTTATTTTGTATAAAAAATTTGTTGCATACTTTATCCCGATTAAATTGATCGATTTTGTCCTGTTTGTTTGTGAGACCATCCGGTTATTATTATAAAAGAGCGAGTATTCATTCTCTGGCGAAGCCAGGGTCGAGTTTCGTTAAAGGGAAACAAAATTCACCGTAGTCCCTTTATCAGTTTCCACTGAGGAATTTTCTGGTGATGTGGCAGGTCTGCAGAAGTACTGCCCTCTGACAGGCAACGAAAATGTTCCTAGGAATGCCAAGGGCCTTGAAGGTATCTGTGAGGTCAGTTGTTATTATTTCCTCGGTTGATATGACAATGGGGTATATTGTTATTTTAGATAATTTCCATAAACGCTTAATCTCCAAGCCAAGGTTCCCATATTTTTGTTGTTTTTCCAGCTCAGTTTTTTTTTTAAATTATGAGATAGTGGTACGGCGATGTCAATAATGGTAGCGGCTTTTTCTTTTTTATCGATGAGCAGCAGATCAGGGCGATTAAAATCTACCGTTTTGTCAGTCAAAATAGGCCTATCCCAGTGCAGTAGATGATCCGTAGACTCGAGAACCTTTTGTGGTGAGTATTTATAATATGGAGGAGCATCCTTACCGATCAAATTGTGTGTCAAAGCCAAGTGCTGGTGTATTAGCTTTGCAACTTGGTTATGGCGACCTAGGTAGGCAGATTCCGATAGGGCTGAACATCCCGCCATTATGTGTTCACTTGACTCACCATTTCCACATTTTCGGCATTTGTCCACAATATTGAGTTTTAGGATATGTTTCTCGTAATTTTTTGTTCTAATTCCTCTGTCGAATAAAATAGCAAGTAAATTCATAAATAAGATATATGGAAAGTCTGCTTTAGTTTTTTTCTTCTTCCATTCAAGATCCAGGCCTCCAGTTTATCAACTTTTGTATTGGTCAACGTGACGGATAGTGTCCCGCTAAAAGAAAAATCATCAACAAGTTGTATCGTTAATGAGAACCCCTGAGAGTGTGTAGTGAACATACAAATTATTTGGGAAGTACAAAACGACCAATTATGTTACAATCACTTGGTTTTGAGGTGGTGTTTGTTGTTTATAATTAGACTACGATCTACATATATTGAATCACAAAGGGAGCCTACAATACTCCGTCCAAACAAACTATCAAGCTACGAGGATGGACAATTAATTTTTTTTTTGGTTTAGGAGAGCGTCTTGGTTAAAACTATGAAACACACACTGGGTTCAATGCTAATTTTATTACGACGTCCTGTCTTTAGTTGAACTATAGTTTTGGTTAGTGTAGTGTAGATTTGTTCAAAGATCTTATTACTTCTTCATATGCAGGGTGATGTGATTGTTTTTACATTGTAACTATAGAAAAATAAAATGCCGGCAATAAAGGCGATTTCACAAAGAATTTATTCATGTCGGTTTAAAGATTGTAGATATTTTAATACTCTATGAGATGTTGGGCGCGGAAAACGCATTTCAATCTTGAACAAACCTTTTGTTTGTTTAGTTTTACATGTCTCGGATGTTCCTACGCGTTTGATATCAGGCTAATCCAAACCTCCCACAGGACACACTGGGGAGATTGTGACTATAGAACGATAGTCTACACCGAGCACTGCACGAAAGACATTCCCTTATATTCATTACAAAAGAACCAACGTGGCTTCATCTT